CGGGGACGGTATTCGGCCGAGAATGTTTCGGGCGATCGAGAGCGAGAGCGGTTTCCTTTCTTCTGGGCTCTCGCACGCCCGCCAATTATCCACCTCGATAGCTTCCCCTCGGAATAATAATCCCCGGAAATACCCGACCACCGCGGCTACCAAACTTTCCTCTCCTTCCTACGGATAAGCGGTAAATACACCAAACCGTTTATCTCTCCATCCGAAATATATATATATATAATTCTCTAATTCCTCCTTTTCTTTCGTTCGAGAAAGTTTCTTATCCTTCTCCCTCCCCTGCAAACGTATCTCCCGAAACCTAAATAAATTCGCTATGCGTTTGATGAAAGCAGTGCGATGGTTGGTTCCAGGAGAAGAAGGAAAAGGAATCGTTCGACTCCATTTCCTATCTATATATATATATATATAGGATCTAATACGGCCAGCGATATGGCGGACGGTGATAAGCGAACAGCGAAATTTCCTCCTAGGTTCGACCAGCTTCGTCCAATCGCATTATATTCCCATTTTCCGCGTAACGCGGTGGGCGGCTGTGGTCGAGTCCCCCTCTCGAGGGACGGAAAAATCCCATTTCAATATTTCACGGCTTACGCCCTATCGCTCGTCGCCGTGGCGCGGCGTGTCGTTAATACAGGGGGGAGGGGAGCGAGACTACGATTCTCGTGGGGTTTCGTGGCGGCAGCGGAACGACGTGTGGACGCCTTTGCCTATCCGTTGCCTATCCGTCGGATAATGGGGGAAGGGAGGGGAGAGGAAACCGCAGATGCAAGCGAACCGTAGGCCTACTGGATTACCAAACTGGTCGTGCCTCACCGCATGCCAAAAGTCCGTGTACCCGATATCGTTCGGCCCAATTACCCCGATGCCTCGCCCCATAATGGACCTATTACGAAGTTGCCTTGTCACCTTCGTAATGCGATTAATATTATTAACGGCCATCCGACCTTACTCCCCTCGATCTACCACCGTTCTACATTGCGTTTTCTTTTCTCTCTCTCTATCTCTCTTTTCAATTAGTCCACTAGAACGTAAAGGATTATCGATGGAAACAATAACAGCTTTATTATATGGCCATTCTTACTCCCTTCGGTACCACCGTTCTACATTGCGTTCTCCATTTTCTTTTCTCTCTCTATCTCTTTTCAATTGGTCCACTAGATCTAACGTAAAGGATTATCGATGGAAACAATAATAGCTTTATTATTATCTCTTTTCAATTAGTCTACTAGATTTAACGTAAACGAAGGATTATCGATGGAAACAATAACAGCTTTATTATACTCGAGACTCGTAGAAAGTCAATCTCGTTATTCGTCGCGCTTATGCGAGAGCGGACAGATCGTGTTTCGAACGCGTCTTGCGAGGAAATTAGAACGTTTTCAGAGCGAAAATATGGAAAGAGAGAGGACAAAGAGCGAGAATTTAAGACAACAAGCTTTATTATAATAAAATAATCGTAGAAACGTAAGTACGAGGTATTAACAGGAGGCCGGTATTCCCTCCCAATGCGCGAACTCGAATTATCCGTGTTCGAGGTATTCGACGTATTCGTGGCGCGCCACGTCCCCATACCCGCGTATATCGAGGGGGAACGGCAGGACCGTCGTTCCGAGAGATCTGCGTAACTCGTGATAAAGGGAACCGCGATTTTTCACGCGCCGGCTGCTCGAGATGTCATCGCCCCCTCCTCCCCTCCGCTTCTATATTCCGGCCAACGGTGGCCAATGACTCGAAACTTGCCCGATACTCGCCTGAAAGGGACAAAGGGAAAAATCGGAGGGGCACAAGAAGAGGGTGGGGCGCGGCACGTACGCGGTACGTGGATCGGATACGTTAGCCGCGTACGATCGAAGAATCGCGTTCCACGATTACATTCCATGGGAAGGGGGATGAGGAATAGGCAGGGTTGTAAGGGGCACGTTACGGAACGTTACTTGAACTCGTGTTCGATTCCGGACTGGAAACGGCCGATGTAAAATCTCGTCGATGCCGATCTCTCTATCATCGATATCTCCACGAAGCTGTTTCTCCCCTACAATTGCAATCTGAGAAGTACGCTGGGGGAGTCGAGAAAAGTAGCAATATCGTCGTCGACGGTGTGTTGTTTCGAAAGAACTCGTCGTCCTCTCAGTTAGAAACCCTCGACTCGCGTCAACCGAGCTATATCTCGCTCGCAACGAATGACGCATCGCGACAGGACGCGAATATCGAAGCTCGGCATTATCCAGACACGACAGGCTCATTTGCGCCGAGTGGCTCCGTATTGCGCCACTCGATCTTGGGGATCGGTATGCATGGACGCTAATGGGGCGAAGGATCTCACGGTCCCTGACACGTACTCATTGGTGGGGGTAGGGATGGACAGAGGCGGAGAAAGAGGGAAGGGAGGACGTTAAAGGATAAATAGACGCAGTTTCCATCCCCTCCGCGTCGATGTCAGTTATACGGATGGACACGTGGCAAATGCGATGGAAAGGGAAACATTTACATAATTGTTAATTACGCTTGAAATTTCGAGGGAGGACGTGATGATTTCGATTCGAATTTCACCGCCAGATTTACCTTTTTTTCTCCCCCCTCCCCAATTTACCGCGTGACGTATATACAACTGTCCGTCGAGTGACATTCGCGCTACAACTCTCTCTCTCTCTCTGTCGGATAATTCTCTCGTTGCGTGCGAATTTTCCCGAT